AGTCAGATTTGAAATATGTACACCCAGTCAGTTTTTATTCGCATTTTACGCATACCAGTTTCGGATGAATTTAGCTGTATATATAAAATATCGTTTAAAGTTGTGATTCCGGGTCACGTAAATATTAATTGTGAAATAAAACTTTTTACCGCATTTAGTGGCATAGAGTTGCATGACATACCGTTATGATAATTCTAAAGATTTTGATAGCATCAAAAACTTCAGGAATAATACATATTTTTATTTATTATTTAACAATCACATTAAGAATTGCCAACATTTATTTCTTACAAATTACCAAGATACCATTAAAGCACTTACGGTAAAAATTATTTATATATTTTTAGTCGATTTATTTATATATTGATATAACTCTGGGGATAAATGAATTACCAAATAACATTAACACATTTAAAACATTTTAAACAGTTGAATTTTTATACTGAATTTTAAAAAATTGAGGTTAAAAATTGCATTTAATTTCACGTGTAAGCTAAGGTTCTTAAGCAAAGACCACTAAAAGGCTAACGTTTTGCAGTGAAAATCATACTATAAATATAATTACTCAATTACTCATTATTTCAACTAAAACTCTATGCATAGAGTAGACCAAGGTGCAAAATTTCTGATTCAAGGATATAAAATTGTAATGTTACCCGTTGAATATAGTTACAGCCATCTAATTCAATCTGGTCTCACCAGATTCGATATTTATATGGTAATAAATTAAAATGATGATTATAACACTTATTTACCAATTAATTAGAAAATATAATTCTTTTGTTTCGTGGAATTGTTAGTTCCTAAGACTTTTTCTACTTTGGACGTGAAAATGTTAATTAGAACCAGAAGTTTAACCAACAACTATAGCGAGTTATAGTTGCGTCCCTTTAAAAACAAAAAAATTTACAATAAATGTATGGCACTATAAGCGGGGAATTGCGGTCATAAACTTTTTTGGTAACAATATTTACGAAGGAATAGACAAAGTATTTGTTTTAAATTTAAAAATAATAATTTCGATTATGAAATAGAAATACAATAATAAGGAGAATAATAGTACAGGTAGTATGACTCACGTAATAGTATTTGGGTATTAAGTAGTCGCCAGTTATGGGATCTCTTCTCAATAGTTGATTGAAGAGTAAGTCCTTATAGTATTTGGTTTGAGATTCAAGATTCTTGAAGACACCGTCGATGACGAGGAAACAGCAAAACAGAGGCCAAACACACTCTATGTTCTCGAAATGTTTGGTTTCTTCGTTTCTATAATTGCCGCGACTCTCGAGAACAGTTCCGTAACCATCTCTGATGAACCTCTTGAAGCCGTACGGAGTCTTCAATCGTTTAATTATCTTATCCTTAGTGTTCGCGTAAAGGAGTGTGTCGTGAGTGGCAAATGAGGGCCAACTAATTGTTGGCAATAAACCTACAAAATATTAAACATCATTAACACAATACCCGTAGAAATATCATATATTGTAAGTTATATACAGTAAGATAACAAATGAATCAATACTTGAGTCTGTGTTCTTAGAACTGGACTCTCGAGGAAGAAGTGTTTCGAAAATACTTCGGTTACGACTGTGAGCATCGATGTCAACATAGATGACACTCCAAGACGCGCCCTTTTCGCCAAACAGATTGCATCCATTGATAGCCTCGAGAGCAGACTTAGCCATTCCGATGGACGAGGCGTTGATCTCAGGAGTGCCGGTATTGTATTTGCTCCCTCTCTCCCACATACCAAAGTCTGGCGTCCGATAGGCTCTCTCCACATAATAGACCAGATTCTGTACGAACTGGACCTCATCCATGGTATAGATTATCTGCAGTCCAGACGTTATCATTTGGACCAGAAATAGGAGGTAAAGGCTGACCACATCTATCTGTAAGTGACCGTAAGTCTCGTCCTTCAGTGAAAGACCAGTGTTTAGGTTGACTTTGGAGTGGAGGGCGTGTTTAGGGCTTTGGTTGGTCTTAAACGGTTCCACTTTGTCTTTGGATTGTCTCATCCAAACGAAAAGTATGCCTCGCATACACTTAACAGTGCTCTGACCCAACTCATGCCCTTTACCCCTATCATCGTCTATACGCTTAGTGTAGGCCTGAAAGAGAGCCCAAATCGCGCAACAGATATATAACGAGTCCCTAATGTGGGCCTCATTTGTATCGCACGAAACCCTCGGAAACAAACCGGTGGTCGGACTCTGATATCGGAGGAGTTGGCGCTTCACTGAAACACAGATTTAATTAATTAATGTGTGTATAATAATTGCAATATATGTCAAACCCTGGCCATAGTATTGATCCAATTTGCGGATACAATCGGTGTAATCATTAGTTTTAAGGGCTTCGGCCAATTCAGTGTCCAGTGATGTACTGATACACGAGACCTTTGGCTTCGGAACCATTGTATCGCTTCTTGAATAACATCTATCCATTCATAATATCATCACTTTTTCCCGACTCAGCATTAATTTAATTATACACATCTATACTGTAATACATGTCTTAAATCCAAACCAAAATGTATTCAAACAATTCCAACAAATTGAAGGACAAACTAACTTATCATATGTTTTCATCATGCCCTTTACCCCTATCATCGTCTATACGCTTAGTGTAGGCCTGAAAGAGAGCCCAAATCGCGCAACAGATATATAACGAGTCCCTAATGTGGGCCTCATTTGTATCGCACGAAACCCTCGGAAATAAACCGGTGGTCGGACTCTGATATCGCAGGAGTTGGCGCTTCACTGAAACACAGATTTCATTCATTAATGTGTGTCTAATAATTGCAATATATGTCAAACCCTGTCCATAGTATTGATCCAATTTGCGGATACAATCGGTGTAATCATTAGTCTTAAGGGCTTCGGCCAATTCAGTGTCCAGTGATGTACTGATACACGAGACCTTTGGCTTCGGAACCATTGTATCGCTTCTTGAATAGCATCTATCCATTCATAATATCATCACTTTTCCCGACTCAGCATTAATTTAATTATACACATCTATACTGTAATACATGTCTTAAATCCAAACCAAAATGTATTCAAACAATTCCAACAAATTGAAGGACAAACTAACTTATCATATGTTTTCACAACTTTGTCAACATTATTCCATTCCAGCGCAAACTCCTCTCTCTCTCTCTCTCTCTTTCAAAAATAAACAATTTTTATTAAGAATTTATTGAAAGATTTTATACATTTAAATTAATTTAATAGTTTAAAAGAAATGTTTAATCAATTGGTGACAAAATAATAAATAACATTTTACAAAAAAACATCAAATGATAATAAAATAGTTATGGTTAAAAATTCAGCAATAAGTTAGGAATTATTTATTTAAATGTTTATTACTATAGACTCTATAGTATAGAGTAATGGGTTAATAAGTTTATACAACAAATATTTTTTGGTAAAACATGGGATCAATAATCTCATTATTAGACATTAAACAGGATTTCAACTCTTTCGGAGATAATTAGCAAATATAAAATCACGTCAACCCTATCAGTGATGTATTAAAAGCCCACAATTATCTCATTTTATTATTATTATATGTATTCAAAGCTCTCATCGTTTGAGTTGTCATCAAATGTATTCATAACTAAATCAAATCGATTGCTTAAATGATAAGCAATAATATGAAAACATGTGAATTGTGTAATACTTGTTAGATATAGACGAGTTGACTGGAGAGTCGGTCGGCAAAGGGTTGCACTAAAGTGGAAGTCGCGAAATAAAAGGTCAGACCAAAGGCTATAGAGATGGGAAGGGCTGGCAATGCTTTGCGAAATATAGCCAATAATAGGAGTGTTAGACATAAGCCGATAAGAATGGCCACAAAACAGGCCAAAGTTGTATTCCAGTCGCCATAAGAGGAGGCCTTTCCCACCAAAACACTGTAGAATATGAAGTCTCCTAAACCCAGTTTCACTCCTCTCTCGTCTTCCATGGCTTCTGAATTTAATATCTGTGTCGACGACTCGTTTCCAATAGCAATGGGTCCTCTCGGGTCAGTAAACCTTACTTCGGGCAACGGTTGTGTCGGCGAGTTATCCCCTCTTTGATGATTGGTGTCATCGGCGTTGTCGTCAACGGCTGCGCCCACATAGTAGGCCACCGCTGATGAGTAGATAAGGGCCGGGAATATGGTTTCATTCCTTTCCTGTGCCGTCTCTACCAATATTCTTAGCGGACCGTTAGGACAGAGAACAGCCACGAGATCCCAGACAGAGATCACTCCGAGCACTACCCAAGTGGTCCAATCGGGAAGGAATTTAATGAACACGAGTGCCATTAGGGCTGATATTAGGATGAGATATGTCTGTTGGAGGAGAAGCGGTCCCTTCCAGTGAATGCAAACCATTCCCACGACACCAAAGTTCCACATGAAGAGCG